CAGAGATTTTGACAGACCACAGGAGGTCAATATTATGTAGCAGCATTACCAACACTCCCATTGTTGACTGGGCTCTTAGAAGACATTTAGAGGTATATTAGAGCTAAATAACAGCACAAAAAACTGAGCCAGGACTGGTGGCGAACTTGTATCCCTGGCCATGGGAGAGAAAGGGTGAGGGTAAAGGTGGGGAGGAAGTGTGAGCAGCAAACACACCTACACCTGGCAGCGCTGTCCCCAGGAGTGGTGCAGCCTCGAGTGTGCAGGGCTGCCCATGTATGGCACTTCAGTGTGTGTGTGTGTGAGTGAGTGAGTGTGTGCATGTCTGTCTGTGTCTCCTTAGCCCCAGCCTCCTCCTTCTAATGGTGGCTTGTGGTAGGAGGGTGTCGCAGAGGGTGCCCCATCCGGGTGTCTGAAGTGTGGCCGGCCTCCCCAGACCTTGTGAGCAGGAGCTCAGGGGTCCTCAGATGCAGCCTCCTGGGGCTGTGTGGCACAGACTGCTGCTGCATGTGCATCCATGAGCCTAGACTGCAGTGCGATTCCCCAGACCAAGAAGGCTGAGCGAGGAGCGCCCCACCCCCCAACCGCCTGCCATGTCCACCCTGTTTCCCCGGCCTCGGAGGATGCCTGGGACACATCCAGGCTGTGGGGTACCGGCTCCAGGGTCAGCATAGTGATCGTACTGGCTGTGTCAGGGTCCTCCTCCTCCTCCTCCTCCTCACCGGCTCTGGCCCCTGGGTGGGCAACGATGGGCATCTCCAGCCCTGAGTCAACCACCAGATTGTGGAGCAAGTATTGATAATAGGGGCAGGAGTGTGGCTCTTCCTCCTAGCAGGAGCTGCGCTCCCTCGCCCTGGCTTAGGCCTCTCAGAGCTCTTTAACTTTCATCCAGACCAGCTTCTGGGTCCAGATATGGCCCTTGGTGGCCAGGCAGCTGTCGATGACAGCATTGTGCTGTTTGGAATGGAGATCCTGGAGGTTTTCCTCCTCGCCCCACACCTCAAAGAAGGCCGGGATCTCCACCTCAGACTAGGACAGCGCATGCCTCTTGCAGCACCTGGCAGGTTCCTGGGATCAATCAGAATGCTCCCTGAGAGTGGGGAAGAGCTCTTGGGGACCTCGAGGGTCGCTGAGTCACTGTGACAGCTGCAGTGTGGCTGGAGGCTGTCAGGGCCAGTTTCCTGCCACAAGCCCTTTCCCCTATGGCTGCAGCTTTAAGGGGAAAAGGAAATATAGAGTCCTGAGGAGTGTGGGCGCCTGTGGGATTTCCTGGAGGCCCCTTATTTCAAAATAATCCCTGTGCTGTGTCCACACATGCCCTATTCTGAAATAGCTCTTTTGGAAGAGGCATTATTCCTCGTGAAATGTGGTTTACAGAAATTGGAATAAGCCATTCGTTATTTTGAAATTATTTCAAAATAATGGAATTGCTGTGTAGATGCTCACATATTTATTCCAAAGTAACAGTGCAGTGTAGACGCATCCTAAGTGTAATTCACTTCAGCATCGTATGGTTAAAGTCCTGTCTCTTTAGGAGATTATCTCTTCTCCAATATATAACTGAGATCTTCTAGGCTAGGGAGAAGAAGTTCTTGTTGAGTGGCTCCCAAACATAATATCCACCTCCCTTCATCTTCCAACTACTCAAACTGCACTTTGCTCTTTTGTGGATGATTTTCTTTTTGCCATCTCATTGCAGACACACCCTGGAGTGAATCAATGTTTTTTCTCTCACCAAACAGGATTTTATCTTTCCTTTTTGTTTTGTTATATAAAGACAGAGCAGAAGTGCTCCAGTCACCCAATGTTTTGGGAAACTATTTATCTATAGCTGAAGGGAAAGAATTTGTATAGAACAAAAGCATGGAATTTTGTGAGATCTGAGTTCCTCTGTCCCAGACTTGTGCCATATTACTTAACCTCCTTGTGACTCAGTTCCACAGTCTCTAGAATGGAAAAGATAATATCACCTATTTCATAGGGTTCAAGACTTACTTAGGATTTGTAAAATGCTGAGAAATCTTTAGCGGCAGACACTAGAGTATGTTATAAATAATAGGGTGGATAGACATCTATCAGGGATGGTCTAAACAGTACTGGGTCCTGCTGTGAGGGCAGGAGACTGAACTTGATGACTTCTCCAGGTCCCTTCCAGTTCTACTGTTCTATGATATTCTTTCTATTTTTTTGTTCCTCCTTTTCCTGCAACTCCGTTCACTCCCCAGCCTTGGTGGTCTGTCATCATTTCTCATTATGTTCTCCAATAAATTCAGACTGTAAGCTTTCGGGGTCAAGGAACTTTTTTAAAGATTATTTAAAGCAGTGGTTCCCAACCTTTAGAGGCTCCCGGGGGTGGGGCCACTCACGCGCCGGGCGCCCAGGGGGTGGGGCCACTCATGCACCGGGCGCCCGGGCCACTCACGCGCCGGGCACCCAAGGGCGGGGCCGCGCATCCTGGGGCACGCCAGGGGCGGGGATGCCCTTGCCCCCGGCGCCAGCTCCCGTGCGCCACGCGCTGGGGGCGGGGCCGGCCCAGGTTGTCAGCGGGCGCACACAAATGCCCTGGCGGGCGCCATGGCACCTGCAGGCACCGCGTTGGGGACTACTGATCTAAAGAGACATACATGCACATTACATAATAAAAATGCCACTCATAAAAGAGACTAACATATATTTTCTCATCTGAAGTGGGTTTTGCCCACAAAAGCTCATGATACTATATTTATTTTTGTTAGTTGCTAAGGTGCTACAGGATTACTCATTTTTTAAAGTTAACTTTTTCCTCTATTGAAGGTAATAAAAAAGGAGAAATTCTCAGCCATTTTATTTTTAGCCTGCCCATAGAATTTAACTGAAAATTATATTGCTGCTATAGAGTTTTATTGGATGGTTCAAAAAAATGCACCTCGGTAAAAAGTTATTTTTTATTCAATTTGTATAGATGGAATAATTTCTACAGTACTTACCAGTTCCATCCTTATTAAATTCTGTAAGACTTCTCCATAACACCATTATGTTAAAAGATTATAGTTTTGGACATCCAGCTACCAGTTTGAGCCTGGTAGCAGTGAATCTATTGGAAGGAGGAATTGGTCCTAGAATATGAATGACTGTTGTTGATTTGAGACATCACAGCCAGTTGTATTATATATATGGGCTGAGAAAACTGATTCTGAGCTCAGCACTGCCATATTCCCTTTGTGTCTTCGGTCACATCAATTTGGCCACGGATTTTCTTTTTAAATGTATCCACTACACTTCAATGCTCCATCTGAAATACCTAGGTCATGTGGCTTCCACTAACTTCTACGTCAAGTGCAGGTGCTCAGCATCTCAAAAATTAGACATCCCAAGTTGTGGATATTTCGATTTAATGGACCCTTTGGAAAATACGGATCTTAACCTGAATTGTTTTCTTAATCTGTAACATGAGTAGAAAATAGCGAGCTACCTCGCAAGATATTGTTGCATTAAAATGACTATAGCACTATTATTAAAAGCCATTCTCTTCCTTCCAAGACAGGGAGGGTCATGATTTTTACAGTTTCTATCTTTAAGGCCACTATTTCTTGGCACTCTCTTGAATCATGTATTTAATTGCACCAGTAGAGCAATATTTAAAACATCTACTATATAAATAAAGTACCTTTTTGAACACAAATTGAAATATACCATTTTTGTATAGAAATTAAAAGCTATAATGAGAGATAAGTGATCTTTTACCAATTAAAATAATGCTTTAATCTGATCTCCTAAAATAAACACATTATTAAAGATACAAGTAGAAATCAGTTGTACGACTTACCTGTAGGTAGGCCTGGCCAAAGAGTGTGTGGGACCCAAGACAGCACACTGAGCTGCACAGCCACGCAGCTCCCGGCCGGGTGAGCGGGGCTGGAAGCTGGGCAGCATGGAGTCTGGAATGCGCAGAGCACGGGGCCCTGAATGCACAGGGCCCAGGGCGACCACCTCACTCAACTTGCCCCAAGGCCGGGCCTGCCTTTAGAGTTTGCTTTGGGCATTTCGCTTTACATATCGGATCTTATTTTGGGAAATGATCTCACCGTCCAAACTTTCCACTTCCCTCTTGTGCTTTTCTGTCAACCCTTCTTTATTCTGAGGGGCGAGCGTGAAGAGGAAGCGAAATTTACACGAACCAATTATAAATTAATTGTATGGGTTTTTTTAAGAATGGAGATTTTATAGTTTTACTATTGGACCACGTGTAAAGAATGTCAAGTTGAGGGAGTGTCAGAGCTAATAACAACCCAACTAACGTGTTGGTTTTAAGAGTTTCTAGCACAACTTGGTCTGCCCTTGCAAAATGGAGATTTTGTTATCCACGTGCCTGCTTTGGGATGATCTTTTTGGTTGCACCTGCAAGGATTATTCAGAAATAATGTTTCCCAAAAGAAAACAAAAGAGAAAAAAAAGAGAGGAGGGCATTTCCCTTCAAATTTCATCTGTATAATAGAGCCCCTCTATACTTGAGTGTTACCATGTGATCTTCTAAACATCTGCTTCTAACACATCTGTTATGTATTAATCTTTCTGTTGTGCATAACCTATTGGGCTGGAATCCCAAAATAGCCTTGCATTTTGTACCTGGTAGACTCACACCACTAGTGTTCTGTTGCTATGGAGATGCAGGGACATCTATGATGATTCAGAACTACAGCTACTGCAAGATGTTATCAAATTACATTTCAACAGAGGCACTTGTAAACGCTGGAGTGAAGTTACATACCCTTTTCACTCCTCTGCCTGTCAATGAGCCCAGTGTCACACTATTTCCATCAGATGCCTTTGTCCACAAACTGAGTATTTAACTCATGGTGCTTTTCAAAATGTCGTCATTTTTGAAGATCTATGGTGTAAGGAGGGCATCCCATTAATCTGTAAAAAAATCTATCCATAAAAGGAGGGCAAGCCACCTACTGAAGAATAAAGAACATGCTTTGTTTTACCAGGAACATTTATTTTTAAATATTGTTCATTCCTCTTACTGCTGTTGTGACTACTGTCTTTGGCATTTTCTTCTTCTAACTACCTTTTAGAACATCTGGTACAAAAATGTAGCTTTACAGAAAAATAAGAATATAAACCACAGATTAATCCCAAAAAGTATTAAATAACATAGCAAAACCTTTATCAAATCTGTTTCATACACTAAAGGGACAAAAACATGTTGTGCATAATATTCTATATATACATTTGCAGCTTAGTTAAATTAGTGCTTTGAGGTTACCAAGGAAGTTGTACAAAAAATAATCAGATCCACGACTGCAATATAGTACTAGAATGGCTCACTATTTGTAAAATGTACAATGTATTCAATACATTGCATTTAAAAAATATCTGCTTGAATCTACTCACGGACACACTAATTTTTGCCTATTTGCAAATAAAGTTTGCGATAAAACAGATTCTGATCTATTGAATTACACAAATCACTTCCAAGATCTCTTGTAATTAACCCAATAAAATGATAATAATTCCCTTTATAAAAACACACATCTCAAAACAAGGGCATTTTGCACATCAAAAATTCCAGTCCAAAAGTCTAAGTGTCACATCCATTTCTGTTGCACTGAACACATCATTCATTCCAAAGCAGCATTATTATAGTGAGCAGACTCTAAAATAAGTCTTCTTTATTTCTGTCAATGTAGTGTGATACACAGAGCATGCTCAGCTATTCAATAGGACAGCCTGTGTTCAAGGCTCCATGCGAAGAAAATCAACCGTGTTTTTCAGCCACATCAGGTTTAGGAAATTTTACAGCTGTTTCTTGTACAGTTTTTTGGTGGGCTCTGAGGGGGACGGATAATTTTAGCTTTCTTTAGGCTGTTCCTTTTGTTATTGTTGCTGGTAGTGAGTGAGTAGGAGCGTCCATGCATCATTCTGGCATTAAGGCCATTAGCCATAGAGAAAGATTTGAGATGGCTTCGTAAGGCAACCGGGAGAGGAAGCTTATCAACAAGATGCACAGGGGTGCAGGAAACTATAGCACGGCAGCAGAGATCTTGCAGGCTCAGTACTTAAAAAAAAAAAAAAAAAGTGTTATAATACATAGTATGATTTTTGTGAGCCACATGGTGGCAGCACACACTTTCATGTGTGTCCACAGTACTTTTTTAAACCAATCTTCTTACTTTCCCCCTCTTTATAGTTCATTATCCCTTCCTCCAGTACCAGATACTTGCTCATATAGGTTCAGTCCCCACCCAAACTTTCATTTGCTTCAATTAATTTGCTTGCAGAATTGTCCCCTCAGCCCTGCACAAAGTTGAACAGACCAATGATGATATTTTCAAAATCAAAGCAGTGATTTGAGAGCCTAAGTGCCATTTTCAAAAATTACTTTAGTTTTAATCTCATTGAAAGTCAAAGATTTTGAAAAATCTACTTAACACTCACAATGAACTCTAATTGTCCTACTTTCCATTCTGCTTAAAATATACAACAAACTTCAGCAAAAGACAATTTCAATTAATAGTTTTCAAAAAAATGAATTAGCTGCATATTAATTGATCAGAACCATGAAAACATTTTACTTGGATAAATCTCTTGTTGGTATTTGGCAAGAAAAGAATGAATGTTGGAAATTACTAATATTTTTAATTCCCCCCTAATCCCAAATATTTCATGAGATTTAAAGCGAGGAAAGCCAGCATCTAGTAAAAACTCCTAAAAAGTAAGATGTTAAAGTCCCCGCCCCCAACACTTTACAATACAAAAAATATGCTACTGTAGGAAGTTGCTGCTATAGGCATTCATACATCTCCAAGCTTTTCTTTTGAGATTGGGATAATCTGGGATTTAGGAGCTGGTGCTCTTCTATGATATTTGGGATGTGCATTGCTTTTTCTCTTTTCTTTTTTTGTTAAAGGTTGTGAGTAATATTCTCGTTTTGCTGCTTAAATGAATAAGGAGTGTGATACTACACAAATCAAAATAAACCTACACCAGCCTGTTAATCTAGTTTTT